CTCCCTCTCTCCCTCTCTCCCTCTCTCTCTCTCTCCCTCTCTCTCTCTCTCTATCTCTGAATCTCTGACTATGAAGTGGAGGAGCGTCTCATCGAGTGCTACATTGCGGAGCAGAACCTCATCGCGATCATAATTAGTTAATTAAGTAATATGATTTTAAAATCTATAATAAATCTCTCTCTCCCATGTAGGAGCGTTTCATCGAGTGCTACATTGCTGAGCAGAACCTCGTTGGCGTGGCGATCGGCTGCGGAACGCGCGGGCGCACGGTGCCCTACGTCAGCACGTTCGCAGCGTTCTTCGCGCGAGCCTACGACCAGATCCGCATGGGCGCCATCTCGCAGACAAACGTCAACTTCTGCGGCTCGCACGTCGGATGCTCGATCGGTGAGCGCTGTCGCCGCCACCAGATGGCGCCGTCACTCTTTGATCGGTGTTCGAAGCTGTTTCTTCGGGGCTGAACGGTGTTATTGGGGGGGTTTCTTGCGCGTGTGGGTTGTTTTTGAGTAGTTTCTGGTAGAGGTCGCTCCCTGCGGTCAGTAGAGGTCAATAGAAGTTGCATTTTAAGTCACAAGAGGTCACCACTCGCGGTCACTAGGGGTTGCAGCTCATCGCCACTAAAGGTCACATCCTGCGGCCACTAGAGGTCGCTGCCCATGGCTATTAGAGATTTCTACCCTCAGCCACTAGAAGCCGCTGTCCGCGACCACTAGAGGTCGCCGCTCGAGGCCACTAGAGGTCTCCATGCTTTCACGTCTGCCTTTAATAATTTGTTTCAGGCGAGGACGGGCCGTCGCAGATGGCGCTGGAGGACATGGCGATGTTTCGCGCGATCCCCGGCGCCACCGTCTTTTATCCGTCGGACGGCGTGTCTACGGAGCGCGCGGTGGAGCTGAGCGCAAACCTGCGCGGCGTCTGCTTCATCCGCTCCAGCCGCCCAGCCAACCCCGTCATCTACTCGAACAACGAGACGTTCAAGCCCGGCCAGGCGAAGGTGAGAACAAGAGAGCGTGCGCGTAGCGACGGCACGGCGGTGGTGCAGAGATCGTGTAGGTTGTTTTTGGTTTGGAAATTTTACATTTCGAGGTGTGATAAATTGTGGAGTGGGTTAGGTTAACGAGTTTGGCTGCTCAGGTGTGGATATAGTTGCCGTTCGAGCCGCTATTGTCGTTTGCTTCCCTCATCGTCATCTCTTCGTCCTCTGTGCACTTCATTCACCGAATTCCATTCTGCCCGTGCTAAGCACCGTCCAACCTAATCACCTCTTTACCGTTCACCGTCATCGTTCAATCGTCGACCGCTCTCACCATGGTCCATACCACTGAAGGCGCGACTAGCTAGATCGTCACCGCTTCGTCGCTCTCTGTGCAGGTGGTCCGCATCTTCTCTCTCTCGCTCCCCTCTCTCACTCTCTCTCTCTCTCTCTCTCTCTCTCTCTCTCTCTCTCTCTCTCGCTCTCTCTCTCTCTCTCTCTCTCTCTCCCTCTCTCTCTCTCTCTTGCTCTCTCTCTCTTCCTCTCTCCTGCACTACTGTCTGGTTGACTGCACAGCTGAGTTTGGCTGCTCAGGTGTGTGGTGATGATTGTCGTTCGCTTTCCTCGGTGACGTCGTCGTCCTCTCTGCGCAGGTTGTGCGTAAGTCTGACTCGGACGCGGTGACGGTGATCGGTGCAGGTGTGACGCTTCACGAGGCGATGAAGGCCGCCGACACGCTCGCCGCCCGCGGCATCAACATCCGAATCGTCGACCCGTTCACCGTCAAGCCGCTAGATGCCGCCACCATCCTCGCGTGCGCTCGCGAGACTGGCGGAAAGATCCTGACCGTCGAGGACCACTACCCGGAAGGTATGTGTGTAGGGTTGTTGGGGAGTGGTTAGCGTCGTGGGATTGCATTGGCGACGATTTGGGGGTGATTGTTAGCGGAATAACTATTAAATTTGTCTTCATTATTTCTTTTTAAAAGTTTTTGTAATATTTATAATATTAGGTAAATGTTCTGATAAAAATGTACTTTTTTTAATAAAAGTTACTTAATGATTTTAATGGGAGATTTGTTATTAATATCTCTTTTTATAAATTTGTCAATATTTAAATATTTACACAGTTGAGTTATACGTTCTAATATCTCTTTAAAAATGACTAATGATTTTTACGATCAGATTAACTTGATAATAATAACACGTTAATAATCACGGATTCTTCGCACAAGCTCTTGTCGCTCTAGAAGCTAGTCTCACGGCGTCATTTTCGTTTTTCCTCCGCCAGGTGGCCTCGGCGAGGCGGTGTGTTCGGCGATGTCGGACGAGATGGACGTGCGCGTTCGCAAGCTGTGCGTGCCTCGCATCCCGCGCAGCGGCCCGCCCGCCGTCCTCCTCGACATGTTCGGAATCAGCGCCAAGTGCATCGTCACCGCCGTCGACAACTTCAAGTAGGCGGCGCCCCCGAGTGGCGGGATTTTGCGGGGGCGGACAGACGGAGGGGGGCGTTCGCCCGCCTCGCGCACGGGTTTTGTCGCGCCTTGGGGGCGCGGCGTTTGCTTGTTTTGTTGATCGAATGCGCGGTGCGTCGACCGGCGCGTGCGTCGTTCGCTTGTTTTGTTGACGTTCGGCAGCGGCGTGCGCGCGGCGGGTCTCATGGTCGGGTGCCTCCCCCTGGAGTTGCGAGCGGGTACTAACGAGTGGGTGGGAGCGAACGACTGTTTAACGCGACGTAGTGGCGGCGGCGGTGGCGGTGTAGTGCGGGCGGCACTATTCTTACATTCCAGTACTGGCGTGCGGCGTGGCACGACTAGCAGGCAGCAGATCTCAGGCCGTCGCCGTCGCTCTGACTCGTCCAATAGCAGCATAGGCTGGGGACTAGTGATTGTTTGGCTCTGTTTAGACCAATATCAGCATAGGCTGGGGGACTAGTTACTGTTTAGCCCTGTTTGGACCAATAGCAGCATAGGATGGGGGACTAGTTACTGTTTAGCCCTGTTTGGACCAATAGCAGCATAGGATGGAGGACTAGTTACTGTTTAGCCCTGTTTGGACCAATAGCAGAGGCTGAGCCACGGCTAGTTGACTAGTCGATCTTCGATGTTGCTTGATTCGGCAGCGGAGTATGAGTGACTAGTTCCTGCTTGTTTATGTTTAAGAGCAATATCAGCTGTAGTCTGGGTGACTACACATCAGTCGTTCACTTCCACCTGTATGCTGTGGACGAGGTAGATGTGTCAGCGGTAGTATGTGGTGCCCTCTGGTGTTGGCAGTAGGATGCGGTGGTGCCCTCTGGTGTTGATTGTTAACTGTTCATCTTATTCCATTGCTGTAGCGTAATAGTATATTAAAGTCACGTTTAACGTTGAGGGAGCATTGTGGATTGCTATCGTTAAGTGGCATGTGATACAGAAATTTATTTGAACCGATAGATGTTAATTGACAGATATTCCTTTCTTTTTTGTCGTTAGCCGGTGTTGTACGAGCGGCAGCCGAAAGCATTGCGTATGTACGAGAGAAAATATTATGTTAAATGCATGTACGTTCTGTATGCGGCAGCGTAGGTGTTTAATACCGGTGATTGATTGTTTTGTTCTATTATTGATTATGGTCGTCTGGGAAAAAAGGTTGGCAGCAAATCATGATGTTTTTCATTGGTTCTAGGAGCCTGGCACGCTATAGAATCTAGATTGTGTTGGTGTTTGCAGATTCCGTAGTTGCCTGCGTTGTAATGCGATAGTGACGATTGCAAAGCTTAATAAAGTCATGCACATCTGACATCCAAGCGTTATGCGGTAATATTGTGTAGCGAATTGTTGCGTATCATGTTGGTGCGTTATGGGGGGTGGGGGTGTCTGCACGTTAATTACATACTAACAAAACTGTTTTTACGTTTTCGTTTTACGTTTTCAAGTTTGGGCGACACACGGGATGTCCGTGGGTACGCGCGTACCTCAATGGCTCGTCTGCATGCAACGACTGATGCACATCCTGCCTCTGTCATGGGCTGTATGTATATGATTGTATATTATGTGTACCTGTATACTACAGCTACCGCGTCTACTGCCTCATGGGCGATGGCGAGACGGCGGAGGGCAGCGTCTGGGAGGCGATGTCCTTCTGCAGCAAGTACAAGCTCGACAACCTTGTCGCCGTCTTCGACGTGAATCGCCTCGGACAGAGCCAGGAGACGGCGTTCGGACACGACATGGAGCTCTACCGCAAGCGCGTCGAAAGCTACGGGTGCGTGCGTGTGATCGCCAGGTGGCGTCGGGGGAGCGGGCTGGGTGGGGGGTGGGTGGGTCATCGGTCAGTGCATCCTTGTGTATTGTGAGGTTCGATGTAGCTGTGGTCGGTGTCGGTAAAGGTGGTTGGTGGTCACCATCAACGATGATGATCAATGCGTATTTGCGCTTGCAACTTGCAGAGGTGCTCAGTGTCGCAATGTGCTCAGTGTCTCATGGTAGCAGTAGTCAGTGTGGTCATCATTGATGATGCGGTCATTGCCTTACAGTAGCGTTGCTCACTGGCTCACTGTAGTGGTGGTCATCGTATCACTGTAGCAATGATTGGTGTCTTCCTGTAGTGGTGCTCAGTGTTTGTAGCAGTGGTCAGTGTAGTCATCATCAAGGAGCTACATATAAGTTATAACAAGGGGAGGAAGCGCCGCCATATCTGGCCCAAATATTTGCCATATTTGGTCATATTGGTCCAGAACAGATTAGTGATCTATTGTCTCTGGGGGACGGATCTGCACAGCCGTTTCAGCTGATTATGGTCCATAGATGGCGTCCTTGAGGCGAAAAGCACACAGCCAATCTGCTTCTTCTCCTTGTTATATGTAGCTCCTTGGTCATCATCACTGATGCGTATTTGCATCTTGCAGCTTCCACACGATCGTCGTCGACGGACACGATGTCGTCGCTCTGCAGAACGCCTTCAACGAGGCGAAGACTGTCAAGGGCAAGCCGACCGCCGTCGTCGCACACACGTACAAGGGTCGCGGAATCCCAGGTAGGGGGCGCTGCGGGGGTCGCGCGTAGGTTCGTGATGGAGGCAGTATTTGTAGTAGTGGTAGTGGTAGTGGTAGTGGTAGTGGTAGTGGT